CACCTGTTGATTCCCTGCTGAACTCAAACCGATTAGCGAACAGGCCATTTTGCGGCGAAGTTAAGGTTCGAAGCGTGTGCATTATCGTTATCGTGGCGCTACGTACAATTGCGAGGGCGTTGCGTTGGCGATCCACAACTAATCAAGAATGGCATCGGGACGCACGTACTGGGTAGTCCTGAATAAATGGCTTTATCGTCGCAAGTACTTCCTGGTCGCGACATGCCGTAAGAATTTACCTGTATCGACAGTCTAGTTTTAGAAAGTTTACAATTAAAAATAATTCATTTTAATATACAATATATGTATAAATATTATATATATACATATATATAAATTTTTACATATTATTTTTTAATATATATACACACACACGTGCATAAACATATATCAGATACTGCAGTGAAATATATATTTTTAGAATAACGTTTATATTATTATTATCTGCTGTATATTTATGAATATATGTACATTTGTTTATAGAGAAAAACGGCTAAGAATCTTACAAAGAGAAACTACTTCTTCATTCCCAGAATATAATTTTCGTCGAACGCGAAGATACTTGAACGTCAAGCGAGACGTTTTACACGGGTGTGAGATTAAACTTCGATGTAATAGGAGAGCGTATATCGTAATGGTGTAAATTTGGAATCGGGGTTCACGAACCTCTAGGCAAGCCTAAATATTTGGAATCGTCGACTCGCGTAAACGTCCGCTGTTCGACGAAAACGGCTAGCGCGGCCGCACTTAACTCTTTTGAGCACGTGTATGTCAAACCAAGAGGAGAGGCAGAAGGAGAGGCTCCGCGTGTACTTACACTTTATGTACTTATACTCGCCGCATCTTTAACATGGCAATTATGCCAGGCGGTTTCCTTAAACGAAACCATGTGCCATATGGTTTCGTACTTCTCTGCGGAAGTGCGTATATACCTAATTTTAAACAAGATTATACACCAAACGCCCTAAATTTTACACTGATTTATTGACGCTGAGTTGATTACATGAATGTGATAATGTGACATAATAGTCCTAAATAGTACGACAAATTTCAAAAGCGTGTTCTTCCGCAATAATAGATAATTTTCTCGAAAGAGAGAAAAGAAACTCCGATATAAGGGTTCTATTTTTCTGATAAAGAAGAATATATATCAAAGAAAACCTTGACCACTCTGACACTAACCTAATCTACGAGTTGACATTAATCTGTGACCTAACATAAATGTTACCCCACACGACCTCTATTCTACTATGTTCTACTGTCTGAGTTAAATCATCTTCAATTTTCATAAACAATTTCTTTTCTAAACAGAAACGAATTCTAAATCCTAAAATTGTAATCTTCTGTATGGTTCTAATTAAAAGTAAATTATGAAATAAAACAGGTGTTAACATTGTCAACTTTATTTTTAAAAATATAAGTGAATTTACATCATGGTATTAAATCAATATCCATATTTCTTAAAAAGATCGTGTTACACAGTCTTTTTATATTTTTCTTGAAAAATGAATCAATTTTCCTTTCAAAGCAGTCATGCATTGAGATAACAATTAGTTCTCACATCAGTTACGTCGCGTATAAGAGATAGTGTTCAACCATTCAGGTACATGTGCGAAACGCTTGAATGAGATGCATACCATCTATTCCGCAAAATCAGGACATTCTCGTGAGAGACGTCTGCCTTCTCGGCAGAGTCGACTGTATCGCGACGCACAAACGAGACATAATTCCCGACGGATCGCCCTCTTGCGCGCGTAATCGCGGAATTATGTCACGGCGTAGCTGCAAGATTCCTCCTCGGCGGGACTGGTGCTGATTACGTCATGTCGTCGATGCGTGGAAACAGGGAGAGTGCTGCCTACGTTACATATTTGGTAGGATATCGTTACGCACCGAGGTCGAATGCATAAGATGTATCTCGCGAGACATCGTAATTGTGACAGATGTTGGCAAAATCCCAAAGTAAAAAGATGAGACACGTTATAGTGAGTTTTCGCATGTCCACAAATTGTTAAGATTCAGATGAACTTTGTATGCTAAACGCTATTTTATATGTTAATGTATTTTTTCTGTACTATTTCTGTTGAATGTATTATTTTGTTGAATAAGAAATGCTCTTTTGTAACGATGAAAAAAAGAAGGAAAAAGAAGGAGAAGAAGGCACACGGAATCAACTTGTTTGCGTTCGTCGAGATTGCCAGGAGGAATCATGTTAAACCATCGCACGCATTTAAGTTAATTGCACGAATTACGCTGACGGGGCGATATTGATATTACAGGATAATACTTGCACGTGGATAGCTTTGCCAAGTAGCAACGCGAATTTAGACATGTTTGACTTCTTCGTACGCCATTTCTTAAGAATAATTTATCTTTTAAAACTTGCAAAAATTTAATTATTGTTGCTGCATTACATTATGATAAATTAGAACTTTTATTTAACTCGTGTACAGTTCGAGCGGTTACTTGAAAAAAAGTAAACATGTTTAACACTTTATCAAAATGCTAAAAAAAAAATACTGTTTTAATGTAAAACTATTAGGAATTATTTTTAAACTATATTTTTAAATAATTGCGTAATTGAATGAAAAGTAAAATAATGACATATTATTTTATTGTTGAAATACTTTTAAAAGTGTTATATCAAAATAAAGATATTTTTTACCTCAGACAAATAAGCAGATTTTGCAGATTACAGCGCGAAAGTACATAATCAAAAATGTAAATGTTACATTGACCTACTTCCCCCAATCTGCTTTATATTAAATTTAGCGGAATGAGTTTAATAAACGTATACTTTCTCCACTTTATGGAAACTTTTAGTCAACGATGGAGAAGAAATTACTTTCATCGTTTATATTCTTGTGCAATTATATTCTTGTACAATTACATTCCCAGATCTACTCTTTTAAGATATTTAACTAGAATGACATCGTCCTTCGCAGTAGCGTAATAGTGACATTGAGATTATACAGCAACGATTATATCATTGTATAAGTAAATAGCCTTGAGATACGACAAAACTTTTAAGCTTAAAAAGTCTCTCTTATATTTGTCACTTTGCAGCATTTTTATCATTATATGAATTTCTTCAATAGATGAAAATTATATATCATAAATAATGAAACTTTTAATGAAAACCATAAGATTTAGAATTCAGAGAATTTTCGTTTTACTTTTGAAATTTTTTATATCTCTGTTATACGTTTATTTTTAAGTTATTTCCAATTTAAAGAAAACAGTTTTTAAACGATTCTAGCCTATGTTCTTCAATTGCTTTTTACTCCTCAAACACCGTAATCCTCGAGTCTTATAAAAAATATACTCGCTGCTTCTGCTGTGCACATCATATTTTGAGACAAACTATAAAGCGTCACTATAAGCTGCGGAACTAAAATGAGGCATGTGCAGCAAGATAAGCAAGAAAATGGGCAAGAGAAAAGAATAACGAGGAATGATGCCCGGATGGCGTTCCTTGAGAGCCTGCTCGGTCCTGGAGTGCGTCGTTGACACAAGCAGAACTTTCATCTACAAGGCAAATGTGTGGAAGCACGATTCCGTTTTCGTTCTCTTCCACGTTATTCAAATAGAGCGCGGCCTTCGTGATGCATTGGCGTAGTCGTGTGGAATTATATATACTTATGCTATTAATTAGTTAATTCGTTAACTTATACTGTCGGACAATTTTATTAATATGTGTAGCGTTTTCTTGCATCAAAAATTGCATAATTAAAAAAATCAAGTTTCTTAGAAAAGAGAAAAAACTGATTTTTAGCGTAGAAGAAATGATTAACTTATCAAATATCAGTAAAAAAACGAAAATATTCTAAAAATATTCTTAATATTCTTAAAAATGTCGTTTTTGTTTTATATAATTCTAAAAAAAAATATTCTTTTTAAGATATGATGATTTTGATGATTTTTATAAAGTTAAGTTAGTTTACTTTTGATAATTGATAAGATATTTATTTAACTTATTCATGATAATATACATTAAATTTTTTAATTACTTTGCTCGAATATCCATGCATCAAACAATTTTTCTAATGAAAAATAATATGAGCATTATACATATAACTAATGAGATAAAATTATTTTATATATGATCCATTAAATTACAATACATGAACATTTCTCTATCAAACAATTATTCATTTTATCAAAAAATAACTTTTTCTAATAAACAAATTAATCAGCTGTATATATAATATTTTCAAAATTGTATTATTGTTTAAGAGCGAGATTATTTTATTAAACCAAGCATTATAGCTTTACAAAATTTAAGATTTAAAAGGAAAATTTATTAATTTCAAGAAAAGGTAATAAAAATCACAAAATATTAAAATTAAATTATGATATTTATGTTTATATTGAAAACAAATAAGAAAATTGTGAGAGTATAATGTCCTTAATATCACATTATTTTAAATCTCAGTTTATGGTCAATTTCGCTTACAGGCTTACGCCACTGGTCGCAATCAATGTGTTCTTCCTCTGTGCTCTTCTCTATCCTCGATTTGGATTTTTTAACGATATAACAAAACCGTTTTTAATCAATTTTTATCGCTGTCCTCATAACAAGATCCGTCCTATTTTCAGACATTTTATTTTCTAGATAAATTTAATTTATCATGTTACGTAATGCACGTTTTCTGTGCGTAGAATGTACATATTTCCCAATTATCATCAACGTTTGGTATTAATAAAGTGGTGTTCCCGAGCTTGAAATTAGAGATGTTAAACTTCGTTTTACAGGAGCTTTCTTCTAAGAGTTTCCTATTTTTCGACTGTTATGCGTTTTCAGAACAAATAAAATTTTATAATCCTGCTTAGGTTTGATCACGGTTGGCTTACGAGTTAAGCCGCTTATCGATGAAATCCAGTGGCGTTTAAGTCGGCTTAAGACCTCATCGAAATCGATCCCGACAAAAGAGACAGTCTACGTATCGAACTCTTTACCGAAAGTCCCCCTAATAGATGATGTTTACAATGTGTTACAGATCTGCAGAGACTCGTACAAATGCAATTGTAAGGGAATAAAAGGGCAACCAGGATTTCCTGGGATACCTGGACCTCAAGGAACGGAAGGACTTCCAGGTGATATCGGACCCGACGGACCTCCCGGACCCAAAGGCGAAAAAGGAGCAGCAGGAGAATATGGAGCCACCGGAGAAAAGGGCTACCGAGTAAGTATTTATTTAATTTTATTATTAACCCTTCATTACTTGCGTGGAATGTGTTGTGTCCAGGAAACTCCAATTTTATAAATTTGATTAATTTATGAATGCTATTCATACATATTACAACTTATATATAATATATATATTGACTATGTGCAAAATAAAAAAAAGGATTCTAATTTACGATATGGAACTTGAAACTATTTGCTGAAAATGTTGACATAAAACTTTCATTTCCTATTTCTATATCAGAAGATTTAAGTAAACCGTTACGTACAACTTTTTCTAAAAATCGACTCGTTTTTTCGAGAGAGTTTGTGATTTACTGTAATTGATATTTTTTAAAACTTTTAAAAATTTGGTATTTGTCAAATGAGATATTTATTAATTTTGATTAAGAGACGTTTTTGACACAATGCGAATTTAATATATACATAAAACTTCTGCAACAATGCTTGATTATTAATTATTTTACAAAAATTACATTTCTTATACTTTTAATGCAATAATTATACGTATATATTTTGCATATATCCATATGAAATTGCCAGTTAAACCAATTGCAATGGTAATTTCTTTATAAGTGAGTATTTTACGTTTTAATGAAAATTTGCTACATGACCCATATTTGTTAGCATACGCAATAACCATTACTAACAGTTTTAACAAAATGATATTTATAATAATTTTAACAATTTATTATATATATGATATTAAGCACAACGATAAAAAATATAACATTATTGTAAGTCGTTTAAAAATCCAAATTTTTCATTTGTCAAGTAAGAAAGTATTCGCTTCGATTTTCTTAATCGGAATGAGTAGGTCACAAAGTTATGCATTGCACAAAGGCATATTAACGAGAGAAGTAGCGCTAAATTAAGCTTAAAATAAATTCATCGTTAATACTATTTGAATTTGTGTTTGTTTTTAAAATTATCTTATTTTATTTAAAATATTTTATTTAAATTATTGCTAAATAAAAATATTTGTGGTGATGATAAAATTTCCTTTACACAAAGGCGTCTTACTGCGTGACTCTGGGAATGAGTTACATGATTACTCCACTCTATTATTCAAAAATCACAAATGCTAAATAATGACTTAAATTCGTGGACCGGAACGGTAATACCAAACATTTCCGAAACTACGTGTGCGACCATTTAGAGAAATAGAAAAAGAAGCATCTCTCCATAATTGGATCGTCTTAAGCGGAAGGGTTGGAAAAAAGAAACGCATGATGAGAACGGCAGACGTATATTCATCGCATTCTCGATTCTCCATTCAAACGCGATTGTCCGTCGCGCTACATATGCTCCGAACGGGACAGAAAATAAGAGAAAAAAAAAAACGACAGAAAAAGAACGAGAAGGAGGAAAGAAACGCCGTGGCGTCACCGACCAGAAACAGAACTCTTCCAAATGCGGAGGAAGAGGGAAGATCGCAAACACGAGAGAGGAATTACGAGCGGACGAACACCCACGATGCCGCCTGCACTACCAAGGTGCTGTTACACAAAGCTTGCGAATCCGTTGTTTCGCAGTTTGTCAATCAGCATCGATGCGCGACACCGTGCAATATGATATGACACGAGATGAGTTCTGCTACTTTGAAACGACACGCAAAATCGCCGGCGATTATGATCTCCTAAATTCGAATTACACGCTGCATTTCTAAATTATTTTGATCTTGCACAGAAATTCCTCACTTAATTAATCCCCATTTAATCGTAATTTGTTATAAAGTTATAAAATAAATTTAGTTGATCGCGTAAATTTTCAATAGAATTTTAAAATAGTATCTACGTAACTCTTACAAGTAATGTAGAACTAAATTTTAAGTTTAATTAAAACTTTTAATTAACATTAAATTAGATATTTAATTCAGAATTCTAGATTCTGCTTTAAAATCAATTGAAAATTCTGAAAATATATTTGTTTTATATTCAGTATTCTATATAGCAATTCTGTGAAAAAAAAAAGCGATGATTGTAAAAAAAAACAAATGGACAATACCAACTTTGTGAATTAAGAAATTGCAGAAATTTGTGTATTTAGAATTATAAAATTAAATCACACAACGCACAACCGTATTACAATATTATCACGTCGTTACACAGGATGTAGAACAATTTAGTATCGCAATTACCGAAATGTCACGAATAAATAAAACGTTACGGCTACGCGTGATATGATAAAAGTGTTGGTGCACGTACAAACGTGGTCGACACATCTCGTGCTTATTAATTGTGCAAATTATTCATTCGCGTGCAGACTGCGAAATAGGACGGTGTCAATCTTCGTAACTGAAACTTTAAATTAAATGCTTTACATGATGATTATAATTTGACATCTTACACGTGCACACGTATTTCTTATAATTACTTATATATTCAATTAGCTTTATTGATTCAAATTACTGATAAATATACAAGATATTCCAGAAGTAAATAAATTGTTTAAAGAAGATATATTTGATTTGACCAATATAAAGTAGAATTTTTTTTAAATAATATTATGTAATATTAAAAATTTTATTTGAGATACTATATATGTATATATATACATATATATGTAGTGCATTATTTTATTACTGAATTATTATTCGATATAAGGTATATTTTGCTTTTATAATTGTAAAGCAGTTTATCTTTTTCTTTTACTTATCGTTTTCATTTTCGATAAAGATTCGTTCTCCACAGTTTCAAAGTTTAACCAAGAAAAATGTCTTCACAAAGAAACGTTAACATTAAACTTTCCAATGATTTATTTCCTATCATGGACGTGCGTTTCGTAATCATCTAACTGGAATTGACGAAGAAATTTCAAGAAAAATAACGTCAATAATCGGAAGAGGCTTGTCACGTCTTTTTGGTACGTCGCGAACAATCCACTTTCAGAAAACTTTCGATCGGCGCAGACAGGAAGTGCCACCTCCGTCGTAAATCCAAATTATGCAAGAATGAAAATTCTGGTTATTACTACGGACCGATGTGTTACCACGTGTGCCACAATTCGCCAATTACAACCGGTGCACTACGTGTCGCACATTCTCAATTAGCGGCGTGCATCACTTGCTAATTGTATTACATCGATCGTTCCACCGTGGTATGTGTCAATAATGTCTCGCATCTTTGCTAAAGCCTGTAATTGTGATCTTCATAAAAGTTACGAAAATCTGAATTAAATCTGAATAATATAAGTTTTTGCTCCACAAGGAAATTTTAATTTAAAGATCACTTCTACATAGGAAAAGACTCGAAAAGTTAGAAAATAAACTGCTTACTTGTACTTGAATAGAAAGAAGCGCGAGAGATTGTATGCTTTATATTTTTTATACACTTTTTTTTATACAATTAATGGGATTACAAGTATAGGAAAAATGTAAAGAGGGCAATGTCAGAGTTCGATATCTTGAACTCAAAGCAATATGAAGATACAATTCATAAAATACAAATAAGCGAGTAAAGCCATGTTAGGTCAAATTCAGTTTTGCTGCACGTTAAATTATATATCTTTGTGTAAATCTTAATTTCCAATTCACGCAAAATATTATTGAACATCAAAACTTGTTTTGACCAAATATAGCTTTCTTCTGCTGAACATTTTTCGGTCGATTTTTTACTCTTATACTTATATATCTATAATTTATAAAATTTCTTTTATTCAAAAAAATATTTCTTTTACTTGAAGAGACAGTTTTTATTTAAACTGCATTTTATAAATCACTGACTTATTTTTTCACTTGTGTGTCGAAGTTTCGAATTCGATAAACAGATAAAAATCGATGGATCGCAGAAACATTGAGAATCAGGTCGTCGAGAAGAGACAAGTCTGCAGAAAGGAAGAGAGAGCGAGCTTATCGCCTTGCAATGCGAAGAGGCCATTTAAAAGGCGCGAAGCATGACGAATTACACATTCTGTCGCCGTAATGAACGGCCGTCGATTTGGGAACGCGTTTACTCCTTCATCATCACCATTTTCTTCTTTTTCTTCTTCCTCTTCCTACCACGGCAAGTCTTCTCTGCTGCTTCCTCGTTACTCCTTTTTTCGCGCCTCGACATGTATAATATGTACGCGCGGATTACATCAGGCGTGTCTCTCGCTTCTGGAAGGTGAAATGACGTCACGGTCTTTTCTGGCTGGCCAAAGAGAAGAGATACAACCGCATGTACCGGTACAATCTCTCATACTTACTGGCGAGCGGCGAGCTGCTCGTACCGATCACCACTGTCGACTTGATTTACGAGGTTCTCGCGAATTTCTGTTTAAATAAGAAATAAAAAAAAAAGAACGCATTGCTTCTCCTTTCTCTCCTTTTTCTCGGTATTTTCGGATTTATCGGACTTCCTGAGATTTTTAATGCCCTCGCCTATATTGGGATCTACTTCTCGTCTTTAAGCCACTTTGTCGTAAGACGAGGACATTGATGGACTCGGGGATTAGAAGGGATTCCCCGTAGGTTTAAGGAGATTGCAGTTTGAGATCGTACGTGCGATCGGGGAATTTCAGTAGAGAGTTTCCCCGAGACGAGCCCAAGTGGCGATTGTATCTTATTCCAAACTCTCTCGACGAGAGAAAGTCCTCAGGAAGATAAAATTATATTATAACAAATATTATAAAAGACGAGACGAGGGTGAAATATGTATTAGAATGCCTTTTATAAACTTACAAATATCTCAAAGAGATACCAGTCTCTTTTCTTAGCAAAATTATGTCTTTATATTTACTTACGTAAAAATCAGATTTAAATATTTTCTATTAATAAACAATTTAAGATTAATAAAACAAAGTAAAAATTTTATTGTAACATAAATATTGTAAAATAAAATTTCAATTTTCGTTTTCCACATTACTTACATTTCACAAATTCTTTGCATTACACCAACATTTGCCTCCACCCCCAAAAAAACTTTTTATTTTTAAAAAATTAGATCTATTTTTAGTATTCTAAATAAAAATTTAAATAATTTTAAATATAAGTTGCTATTTTCTCTTGTGTTCTTTTGAAGTTAAACTTGACATAATATTTATAATGCTTGGAGTAGAGTAAAATGGTTTGTCATCTTCATTGATGTTATGTAATTGAACGACACATTCTGAAACACGCGTTAAACGCATTTTAACGTAACTTTATTTCATTCTCGAGAAAACCACTAATTTAGAGTATAACGTGTATTTCTTATTGGTCAGTTTACATAGTCAGCCTGAAATGAACAGACGCGAACTGACGTCATGATCCCTTTCAGAAGAAGTAAATAATTGAAGAAACACATCGAACGAAGTTTTTTTTAAATCCAGTCTTTTCTCGGTTTGGCAACTCTCCATTAGCTCCATCATTTTACAGTTAGAATTTCTGAATTATAATTACAACGTATTCTCAAAATTTACTTAATTTTATAATAAATTCTATTAGATGAATTTTCGTATACTTTATTTAATTGTCGTAAACATCTTGTTGCTTTATTAACAAACTTGACAACTTTTGGATTAAACAATTTACTCAAAAGAAGTACTTTAAAATTCTAATTCTTTGCACCTACCATGCAATTTTTAAAATATATCAGGTATATATTTTCTATAAAAAAATTATTTATTGGAATTAAAAATTTATATTTTCTATATAAAAATCAGTATTATATGCATGTGAAAAAATTCAATAAGATCAATATTTATATTTAACAATACAATTTTTATAATTTCAATTTTGTTATTTTAATATAATTATGTTTTAAAAATATATCTACTTTTATTGAAATAATTTGAATCTTATAGATTACGCCGCCAAACTTTTTGTATTTCATTTTTAAATAGAGAAAAATCTATAAATTTTTTTATTTTATTTATAAAAAAATTTAAAAAATTATTTATTTAAAAAAATTTATTTATTAAAAAATACGTGTAATACGTGTATCCTAGGCTTTGTCTGTTTTATCCGTTATTTAGACTCAATTGGCTAGCATGAATTCAAAGCATACGTATCGTCGTGCAAATTTAACCAGGCGATCGAAATTTACGATGGGGATCGGTTCCCTCGCCGATGGCATATACGGTGTCACTCGTAAAACGACGACCGAACTGACGTCATGGTCCTTTCTGGCCGGCCAAGGGAGATGGCTCGGCTCCCCCGAGCGCTGTACACGCGCACGTTGCAGACCTCGCTCTCGAAATTACCGCAGGAGTAGTGGGAATGGCACAATTCTGCCGCTTCGGGTTAACGATTCGGCCCGGCGGCTTCCAGACGTGGGCGTTAATGATAAATTGCTGGCATCTCTCGCGCGTTTCTCGCTGCTTTGGCATTGATCCCTATCTACGTAACGATTACCTAGATATTACGTATTACGTGCATACCCACGTGCGAGCAGCGCGGTTGATCGAGCCCCGTCTCTCCGTCATCGTCTCGTTGTCCAGGATTGACACAAATTGACGCACTGAAGACGCGGGCTTCCATCGCGGTCAGCATCCGACTGCTTTAAGCCGAGGTGGATTTAACTAATCTTTCATCGACGGAAGGTCTCTTCTTCTCGGGAAAAACGGTACATCGCGGCGTGATCGATTACACGTTTTCAATACTTGCATTCGCCAAATG